GAGCTGTCAGCACAGAGCCCGATGCGGGCTCTCAGACTGTGAGACCATGACCTGTGCTGAAGTCAGTCGCTTAACCAACTGAGCCACCCAGGCGCCCCATTGTCTTTAATGTCTTTTTTTCTTTTAAAATTTTTTTAAAATTTACATCCAAATTAGTTAGCATATAGTGAAACAATGATTTCAGGAGTAGATTCCTTAATGCCCTTTACCCATTTAGCCCATCCCCCCACCCACAACCCCTCCAGCAACCCTCAGTTTGTTCTCCATATTTATGAGTCTCTTCTGTTTTGTCCCCCTCCCTGTTTTTGTATTATTTTTGTTTCCCTTCCCTTATGTTCATCTGTTTTGTCTCTTAAAGTCTTCATATGAGTGAAGTCATATGATTTTTGTCTTTCTCTGACTAATTTCACTTAGCATAGTATCTTTAATGTCTTAATTGAAGACGTCTAGATTCTCATATCTCCTTCTTTATTTTTATTTTTTTTTCAACGTTTTTATTTATTTTTGGGACAGAGAGAGACAGGCATAGTGCTGGGAGGGGCAGAGAGGGCACAGAGATGGAGCAGGCTCCGAGGCTCTGAGCCATCAGCCCCAGAGCCGGCGGGGCTTTCGAACTGTGAGGACCCATGAGATGGTGACCTAATGGCGGACTGACAGCTTAACTTATTTCGCCACCCAAGAAGCCTCTCCTTCTTTATTAAATCTGTTATGATATGTTGTTTTGGTTGAAATATGTGTACACATTTTATTATTTTATTTATTTATTTTTTAGAGAGTTTTTTTTTTTAATGTTTATTATTTTTGAGAGAGGGAGCTTAAGAGAGACAGAATCACCCAGTGGGTTGGGCAGAGAGAGGGGAGACACAGAATCAAGGAAACAGGCTCCAGGCTCTGAGCTGTCTGGGGAGGCCCAACATGAACTCGAACTCAACCAAGCACAGATCATGTCCTGAGCCGAATTAGGACTGGCTCAGCCGACTGAGCCACCCAGGCCCCCTTTTTGAAATATATACTTACATATTTTTAGATTTTATTTTTAGTAATCTCTCTATATGCCAGTGGAGGCTTGAACTCACAACTCTGAGATCAGAGTTGCATGCTCCTGACTGAACCAGCCAGGCATCCCAGTTGAAATATATTTTTTTAAATGATGCATCTCACACAGACTTAGTTGGAAGAGAACAGTATTTTATAGCCTTTTCTTTCTTTTTTTCAACGTTTATTTATTTTGGGACAGAGACAGGCATGGTGGGGGAGGGGCAGAGAGAGGGGAGACACAGAATCAGAAACAGGCTCCGAGCTCTGAGCCATCAACTTGAGCGGGACGGGGAGGGAGGGCTCGAACTCCGCGGACGGTGGTCGTGACAACCTAGCTGAAATTGAGACTCAACCATTCTTTTTCTGCTGCAAGCCATATTTTATAACCTTTTCAAAGAGATTGTGGATATTCTTTTTTTATGACTTGGACAAATGGTAGTTTCTTAAAGTTAGTTGTATGTAGGAGCCCTGAAACCATCAATCAGTGTACTTTGTGTACTCTTGCATTAAATTCATCATTATTTATCTTGCATTTAACTGGATCTTTTACCCATCGTGATTTTGTGACATCATGCATTGGTCATTTGAAAGAATATTAACTCAATATTAATATGAATCTTCCCAAATGCTGACAAATTTCATTCTGTGTAACATTTAAAAATCATGTTTGGTAATGTCATCAGAGAAAGATCTTTCAGTGTTAGGAAACTGTCAAGTTCATAGTGGCAGATACAAATTTTCCAAAATTCCCATTTCCTTGAAAACTCAAATATTATAATTGACAACAACAATTACTGTCACTTGTTTTCCTGAAGTAACAACCTCACTTTGTTTTCAAAATGTCTGCCAAATAGTCAAGTCTGAATAACAAACTCTATTAAGTTTTATTTTTTTAAATAAAAATGCTATTCCATAAGTAGCATCTCAAAAAATCACACAAATGTTTTTCTCTCAGGCATCCACACCACCACTTCCGGTAATACGGCAAGAAATTACTTCATGCATATTTCTATGTAATCAGACAAATAAAAAAGGACATGTACTCAGATTCAAAAATTAA